AGAAAAAGTGTTTAGCCTTGCATGTTTGTTGAACAACTAATCAAAAAGAAGGAAGAATGTTTAATTTTAAGTTTCTTAGAGGAGGGAGGCATTTTTCTCCTTTTGGCTGGCTACCCCCCTTCTCTTCTTTTATTTTTTTTATATTTTAAAAAATCCTAGTCTCTATTTTACAAAATTGTTCTCATTTAAGTAGACAATTTACATTTAAACACTTCAATAATTATTTTCCTGAAAAAAAAATGCACTTGGGAGAAGACATCAATCTTTTAGTCGTGTCAGAGCTAAATTACTGAAATAAAAATTTGGATATTGGTTTAGATGCTTCAAAACATAATTTGAACTTATTTCTTCATGAAACCTGTTTACTGGCAGAATTCATTTGTCATCTTTAAAAAATCATATCTCCCTCATATGATATCATTTTTGCTGAACATTTGAGTGTTTATGCATCTTTGAGTCAAAAATCTAAAAAAATTGAGTTTGAATCAATTGGACTTCTGTAGCTCCAGATATTCAAGTCAGAATGGTCGAAGGTCAACAATAGCAGATTGTGAGATTTTGACTTTGAAAGCTACGATTTCAATGCTCTTCCTTATTTTATTTTCTTGCCTTAGATGTCCAGAAAGGTATGGATGGTAGCTTTTTTATGGCATTTGGATCACTTCATTTCGACCTCTAGATCTCACGCTTTGCACAAAACATCGACTAAAGGTCAAATCTGTCAATTACCTCATATTTACTCCTTTTTGCATCTTTCATCCAAAAGTGCCTTCAAAACATACAAAAAAGAATATCAAGGTATTTTATATATAAAAAATAAGCAAGATACTAGTTAAATATAAGTGGAACTATTGAATAATATGGTTGCATCTTTAACCTACTAAATCTACACCTTTGATAACGAGACTGAGATAACCTCATAAATAGCAAATCAAAATAAATTTTAAAACTCAATTTTTAATCATCCTTCTCGAACCTAATGTTAAACAATGAAATTTATAAAATTTATAATTAAAGAAATACCACAAAAAATAAGCCATGTCAGCTCGGGTTAACATATTAGGTACTATTATCAGGTCATAAGGCTGAGATAACTTAATAAAACACAAATCAAAACAAATCATAAAGCATAATTTTCAATCAAACATAATATTAAATGACTTCTTAGGGGAAGAATGATCTAGAAGTTTATTTAAAATGAGAGAAGAAGATAGAGTTGATTTTTTAGTGTCACAATTATCTGAAGCCTAACAAAGTCAAGCTTACTGTGATTGCTTTTACTAACTATGTCATTTTGTAGTGGGATTGGTTAGTGACAAACCACAAAAGAAATTATAAGAGGCAAATTGATACATAGGATGAGATGAAATCATTTATAAAGAGGATATTTATGCCTAGCCACTATTATAGAGAATTATATCAAAGATTGTATAATTTGAGTCAAGGAACAAAAAGTATTGATGAGTACTTCAAGGGGATGAAAGATGTTATGATCGAGCTAATGTTAAGGAGGATAGGGAGACTTTTATGGCTAGATTTATGAATAAACTTAATCATGATATAGCTCATATTATGCAGTTGTATCATTAAATAGAGTTGGATGAGATTGTGCAGATGGTCGTGAAGAGGAGATGGTGCACATTGTCATGAAGGTGGAGAAACAACTTAAATGGAAGGGTATCATTCAAAATAAATTTTGAAACTCAATTTTCAATCATCCTTCTCAAACCTAATGTTAAACAATGAAATTTATAAAATTTATAATTAAAGAAATACCACAAAAAATAAGCCATGTCAGCTCGGGTTAACATATTAGGTACTATTATCAGGTCATAAGGCTGAGATAACTTAATAAAACACAAATCAAAACAAATCATAAAGCATAATTTTCAATCAAACATAATATTAAATGACTTCTTAGGGGAAGAATGATTTAGAAGTTTATTTAAAATGAGAGAAGAAGATA